CTTTGTTGATAAAAATTAACCCAATTTGGTAGAAGTGGATCAAAAGGCCAAATTTTATTCAGCTAAGAAATCTGTGAAAAATCAAATCCACAGTCTAAACTAAAAGTCGATCACGTTTTCCGTGATTGTTAGTGTTGCTGTTCGAAAGTGCAGTCTACCTTACTTGTAACTGAAGAATTGAACTGAACTTATAATAAATCAAACCGCGCAAAATCAAACCAATTCTGAAACACAGCCATCATAAAAACAGCCATCATAAAAAATACTAAAAAACGTATGAGACCATTGCTAAAAATAGATGACAAGCAACTCGGCTTTATGGGTGGTAGATCACCTACCGATGCAGTTTTGCTTATTAGACAATTGAAGGAACTGTTTGAGGAAAAGAAAAAACCCCTGCATCACATATTTGTTGATCTCGAAAAAGCCTTCGACCGTGTTCCCGGGGAACTGATCCGATGAGCTCTGAGGCAACAGAGTTCTCGAAAATCTGGCACGACTAATAATGTGCATGTACACAGAGCCGAAAACCACAGTTCGCCGACCCCAAGGATGCAGTGATTACTTCGATGTTAAAGTAGGCGAGCATCATGGATCGGCACTTAGCGCTTTGTTATTTATAAAAGTAATGAAGAGACTACAAAAAACTGTCGTTCCATGTAACCATGGGATATGCTATATGCAGATGACCTTGTGATATCCTCTGGAACGGAATTCCAGTCTATTGAGAGGTTCAATACTTGGAACGAGGCTTTGCAAAAACGCGATTAGAAAATCAAAGTGGATAAGACAAAGCATTCAATTTCAGTACAAAAGTCTGCACTCCAAAAAACCGGAGAGCATCCATGCGCTTGTTGTTTGAAGGGAGTCGGCGCCAATTCAAAACGCTGCATTTCTTGTAATCATCGAAAGCATAAAAAGCAGTAGCCTGAGTAAAATACCTTCACACAATACTAATTACGTTTGTCCAAGATGCAGTAATCCTTCCAGTGATCACTCAAATTAGAATGCTACTCTAGCAATAAATCAATTTGAAACCCTGAGTACCGTCAAACAGTTCTGCTATCTGGGTGATTTGATTTCCGTTGAAAGTGGCGCAATACGTGCATCATCGTTCAGAATAGCACCGTTCTGGGCGAAATAGCGGTATATTGCGACTCTGCTGCTGAATTAAGATATTGACTTGATTAAAAGGTGTCATATCTACGGAGCTTGTCTCCGACCAGTTTTGATGTACTGCTCTGAAATCTGGGCACAAACCAAGGCAATATCCAGCTCTCCTAATAGTGCTGATATGAAAACTGTTTGTGTAGGATTACCGGAGTCACTTATAAAGACAGAGTTACCAACGAAGCAGTAATTAATATGACATGTCTTGTTGATCTGGGCAAGTTACAAGTGCTGTCGCGGCTACGGTGATATGGTCATGTTCACTGAAGAGAAAATGACCATCCGTTAAAATCAACAGACCATGTTTCAGTCCCAGGGAAAAGAACAAAAGGAAGCGCTCTACCTGTTGGATCGATTGTGCTAAACGATAACTGCTTACTTTAGGCCTCAAATCGACAGACTGCCTTGATCGAATTGCATGGAAAAACGTTTTTCTTTATTTAATAGCTTAAATGCTATTCAGACTGCCCTCATCTGAACCATTGCTTACGCGCTTTTCGGATGCCCAACCCCGCCACAATGCGAAAACGGAAAATAAACGCATTGGTAGTATTAGTAGTAGCCATCATACATTTATAAAGGGTCAATGAAAGCAAAGGAACAAAAAAATGACTTGTTTTTCAAAAAAAAACTTTATCCTTCGAATTTAAAACAAAAAATATATGGGCCTTAAAGCCCGTCGACTTTCATTCGAGTATGAATGCACTTCTTTTGTTATTAGAGTAATTCAAGACTTTTCATTAAAACAATCATCACGACCTATTTAAGAGTCTGAGCTACGTTCATCGACTTTTACAAAATCATCACGATCTATATAGCAGTCTTCACTACAATCACCGACCATTAAATAGAAAACTCTTCAAATTACACTAAAACTTTCATGCAATTTCGATTTTTTCAGACGATCTTGAGACATGTACTGTCCGAAAAAATACAAGAGGCGAGCAAAAAATCTCTTTTAGCTGTTCATCTGAAGTTTCTCAGTCTATAGTTCCAAACCATGCCACGCCACCCCCTCCAACAGAGGGGTTAAAAGACAAAAACCATGACGTAGCAAAAGCATTGGTTCAGCAAAAGCAAGAAATCGGTCTCTTTTAATTGCTTTAGTTAGATTGCTGCGGCCGGAACATTCTTTCACAGCAACTGGTTATCTTTGTTACATTTCAAAATCCAGAGCAACCTTCCTGACAAAACGCAAGTGTCAAAACAACTGCAAGAAAAACTTGCGTAAAATAAGAAATCTACTCAATGCTTTCAACCACCAAACTATCAGTGTCATTTACATAATCAGGAACATCGACACGAAGCTAATCAATCGACTTATTTTTCGGTCAGTGAGAAATCTCTCTTTACCTTACTTTTGGTTTGTGTTCCCACTTTCGAAGAAAACGGAATATTTATGCTCGGTGTGGTTTTTCTTTTATTCAGTCAATTTTTTCACCGATCGAAATCATGATTTTCAACAAAAAATTTTTTATACCCCATTGAAGATATGGACTTCCTGAGTTCAAATAAAAAAAAGCTAATTCACCTCCAATTATTTTTTGTGAAGTTCTGGGGCTTTGAAAATTGCCACAATTTCAATGTTCTGGACTAAATTTTGCGTGCTTTGAGGGGTTTATTCATAATGCTGAGAGCTTAACGCGAATTATTTATGCGTGGCAAATCATCCCGCACAACAAAATTGTTGCAAATTGAATTGAGGCTAGCTAATTGGTCGTAATAATTTCGTACGACTCAAATCTTTACACTTTGATATTATATTGTCCAGAATGTAGAGGTTTTCAATATTTTCTTTTACCAAAAACTATCCGATATGAATTAAGGGAGTCGGCACATTCAGGGCTTTGCCTCGATATACGAGCAGCTTTGTTATTATTTCCGTCAGCTCTAGTCTACTCAAATAATGCTCGGCTAGTATAATAATGAAGGCATATCTCAAAACTCAAGTTTTCGAGAGCTTAACATTCAACGCCTCAATTTTCTGACCTCCAAATGAAACTTCTAGTGACAGGCAGCTATATTTAAAGACACAAGTAAAAATTACTATACTTAATGTAAAAAAAATCTACGAACAACTTCCCGTTAAAAAAATCATATCTCAGAAACTGAGAAATTTAGTTTCTTTCTCAAACCGCAACTCTAGACACCGCGCGGTTCAGCAACAAGCAGCTCTGCAATGCAGTGATAAACCAAATCGGTCAATGTGTTTTTTTTTTTCAAAAATCTCTACAAATAGCACAGAATGTTCCGACCATAGTTTTAAAAATACAAAAACTTGTTTTCGAATTAGTGTCGTTTTTCTGAGTGGTGCGACAGTAAGATCTGAACGAAAAAAAAAGAAATTAGGTATATTCGACCGTCATAGTCAAAAAGGCCGATTGGAAAACAATTCCTGTAGAAAAACAAAAAAAAATACTGGAAAAAAATGAAAGTTTCCCGAACAGGCGCTAAAAAACTAACTTAACTCGAGTAAAAATAAAACTTCACGGCACAAAGTAAGAATAAATTAGCTACTGTAAGCCTGCAGAACTTATTTTGACACGCCGTTTTAGCAGGAAAAAATTATCCAAACCAAAAATTTCAAACCAGTTTTTCTCGACCCATTCCGATGATTATTTGTGGTACCAAAAATTAGGTGCTCTGGATCACTGATTTACAACAAAACGGCCAACAGACATGTACAAAACAAGGAGTCCCAAAAAAAAATGAAAAAGTTTGTTTATTTTTCAATATTCGAAGAAAAATTTATCACGTTCAAGTTCTTCGAATTTAAATACTGTTAATGATAGACATTTTTTTTTCTGAAGCGCTCCAATTAAAAGAAAACTAAATCAAAATTTTTTTTCTTGGACAGGGAATTCAGAAAATTGAAGTCCATTTATGAAACAAGGAATCATTTACGTTTTTTGCGACTTTTCCCTTTTGCTGCTCGAAAGCGGAGTTTTCTTTTTTAACAAAGGAAATGAAGAGAACTTCAAAACAAATCATCAGACAAACCGCAAAAAATCAGGACTTTTTCCTGGTCTTTTTTTTAAGTTAGTCAAGGAGCACAACCACTGCCGTTACAAGCATTAAAAATCATTTACTAAGCGGAACAACTAAGCTGGCAATATTTTAGTAGACGCTTATTGAACCGCAAACAAAATGGTTTCAAAAAACATTTTTAACCATAAAATTTTGAATTTCGAAAGCATTTTAAACGACGCAAAATGAGGTTCCGAAGTCGATGTAGCATAAGCCGAACCCACTTAATAAAAAAATTATACTAAATCAGAATTGGTAAGCTTACAAACTACAGAACGACTTTCATTTATAGTTAAATTGCTTACCATGAAAATTATTGATGCTTTGATGAATTTCTATGCTTTGCTTTGGACAGTAGAATGACAAAAAATAAGTAGACAAACTATACTCCGTCAATTCGAGTTTTCCAAAAAAAATGCTTTCCACACATCGGAAATAAACGATGTCCGTCCAGAACTAAAACCATAGACCTTATATTCCGAAGGATCATGCTTCACCTCTAGATCAAAAGAGAGGCGCCTGAATGATGCTGAGGTTTTTTAATGAAGCAAGGTCAATTTCTATTAAATCTTATGGGGATGGAACTCCAGATTTTATGTTCCGAAGTCGTGCTTTACCCTAAGACCAAGTGGGAATGGGCCTGTACTATACCGAGCCGGAATATTGCAGAAAATCTAGCCGAACAAAAATTAGCTACAGCAAGATTTGACAAGCGGCATTAAAATCTTAGCCATTGGTAATTATCATTAAACTTACCAAGATGAAAAAACAACATGAGACCTCCAGATTTTGCCGGATAATTACGATTCAAGCTTATATTGGTCTGTAACTAACTCTCACAAAAATATTTACTATACACAAGATTGTAAAACTCACTTTCATACATGCTATCGAAACACTGATTCCAAAATTATCCGCTACAAAATGGGAAAATTATCAGATTGCAGTTGAATCAAATACCACCAATTAAGTTCTCTCTCTATCTTCCTCGCCCAACAAGGGTTAAATCGACCACCGTGGTCAATTCAAGCTGCCCTTGGTCACCAACGGTACAACAAAGATCACAAGCAAGTTCATCGTTTAAACGAATTCAGCCGATGCGTCAAAGTTTGTAACTCAAAATCGATAGCCTCGTCCACCTGTTTCAGTTCATACAAAATTGCGAGTTCATTTCGTAGCTCATTAAATTCCGTGACAATTTCTTCTGAAGCCGCTTTTGGCCAAACTTCGAGGCCGTATTCAATGAGAAGTTGTTCGATTGCTTTCGATTTCTTGTTTCCAAGGTTGGCTGGAAGTCTCATGTAATGACTACGAGTAGAAGCACCAAATGATTTAGCTTCCGCCCATTTTATACCAGAAGATTCAACTGTATTCTTTGTTATTGGTACTGCTGATGAAATCTGTAGTGTTTTCTTTTGCGAACTGTCCTTAAAAACTGATTTATTTTTATTTAATTGCGAAGGCTGAGACTTCGGACGGCTATCTACAGCACTGATGAGCTTTTGCAAGTCCTGTGCTTTCTTTTCCCTTTCACGCTTCCGGGTTTCAATTTTCTTCAGTTCTTCAACCAGCCTCTCTTCTTCTTTTACCTCTTCTGGTGTTCGGTTCCAAAGCCTTTCCAGTTGCTCTTTTCGTTTCCGCTCATGAGCCGCATCATATAACTTTGGAGGCTCTCCTGTATTCCCAGATCTCACGTGCTGCAGCGTTGCGACTATGTTGTAATACCGCTCTTTCAGATCCTCAATCGACCTATGTCTAAATTTGTCGGAGTCATATCTGTCTTGGATTATGATAAAACGAGTGTCGAACTGATTACAAAGATCCATTAAATGTGCCGTTTCCTCTTCGCTCCAGCTTGAATCATTTAAATACTGAGCATATTCTACAGATGTATACGATGGATTATTTACATGCTTATTGAATCTCGCAAATTGCGACTCTCCTGTTCCGTCACATTCACGCTTCCAGTGAAAAAACACAATTCCGTCGTCCCTCATTGGAATTGCAAACGGAGTTTGTTTCCAAGCTCTGGGATGAAACTTGCTCATTTTAGCCTTAGTCAACTTGTAGCCCAACTTGGTGTCAGCCTGTATCAATGGTGATTTATCCAAAGGTATTCCAGATTGGTTTTGGGCTAGCGATCCAGTCGACCCATCTCGTAGTAAATTAAAAAGCTCCCTAGCCATTCCTTCAGGTTTTTTGAACTGATTTGGAGCTGGAAGTTTATTCACCTTTTTTGGTTTCTTCTTCTTTTCATCATTGAGCACTGACTGCAAATGCGAACCTTGCAATTTCGTACCTTCAACGCCAAGAATATCTGTGAAATCATTGGTAAACTCCATTTTATCTAAAACGTAACCCGTATCGAGTTTATTTTAAACCACATCAACTCTTATCATCTCCTTTTTATCATTATCACTTCCATATCTAGAAAATTCTTACAAGTTTGACTAGAATATGTGATATCGGGACTCCTGACTGTTAAATCGGTTAAATTCCGCCCAAAGTGCTCCTCAAAATTAGGCTTATTTGAGAGTAAAATTTGAATTTGATTTTAATTTTGTCCACTAGTGTATCTAAAAGCTAAATTTATCTAATATAGCAGCGGAAGAACCGTTCAAAAAATAACCGTTGTCAATGGCTGGGACCAAAACTGACACGCAGAGTATCTGTTTTGCAAAAAGAAACCTAACAGGATAACTTAAGCTGAAAAAGAAAATCTCAATTTTAAAAAAACCATTGAGATGAGCAGAGTCAATTATATATCTCTATTGTATATCTCATAATGTACCAGATACTTTAGCAGCGGCAGCTGATAGCATTCCACCATTTGTGCTGAGGCAAAACGCCAAAGTTCTTTCCCCAATTAGTTATATTCTTTTCTCTCAAATTATTTCTTGCTGTTCTTGGCCCAACAAAAAATATTTGGAAAGAGGCATAGGTTATCTCATTACATAAGTCAAAATCAAAATCAGAAGTTACTAACCATCGTGGTATCAGTATCCTCCCACGTTTGTCTGTCTCCAAAAACTAGTTTTTAAATTCATGTATTCCGAAGTTCGGCATAAGCTGTCTTATAGCCAACACGGTTTTATGAGCAGCTTTTTCGCGCAACTCTTTTCAAAAATTGATAAATTTTATAGTTGCAATGATGCTAATGAAGACATTTGTGCTGTCTACTTTGACATGCTAAAAGCATTTGACTCCAAGTCTCATAAAAGTTTTGCTAAACAAGATTACCGCTTTAGGTTTTGAAGCGTTCATCCGTCTCCATTACCTCCTATTTATCCAAAGAAATTTTGATATTTGAATAATACTTTCGTTACCCCAAATGTATCAAAGTAACCGAGTTTACAGTCCTTTTATCACATATTCCAAACAAAACTCTAGGAATTACCCAGATATCGAAGTTGTTATGTGACATTCGACCAGAATGTACGAAAATGCAAAGTCGGAATTTGACTTTTTATTGTGACATCGGAGTGGGAAGATTAACGCTTGTAACGAATTAGTGGTCTTAATCGTTCATTTTGATGAACGCGGAATGTAACATTCGCCCGGAAGTACATATCGACGGAAAATAAAGCTGGGTCCTAAGACGACTGGCCAACTTCTAAACAGAGCTCTACATGCTTTTCACCGTCTCTACCAAGCCAGTTCTTTTGGTGGTCTTTTCAACATCGGGTCGACAAAAACGTTACTGTTCTCCGGCTTCGACCAGAACGCTCAAATTAACTTAATAACATGCAGAAATAGTGACCTCATGGCTGGGTCTCAGTATCCCCAGACCACGAGGTCACTCCTAAAATCAGGGCTACTACTATTTATTGAATTTTTATTGTTTTTGTTCAGTAGATAAAAATCATCATCTCCATCGACCCCCAACTCCTAGCTTCTCATCCTCGTAAAATGATTTCAGATGTTAATTAAATTCAATTCAGGAAATAATAGGGAAGCTAAAAGTTTGTATGAAATGATATGACTTCCAGTCCCAAGACCCCTCCGGATTCTTGAATCCGGGGAAATAAGACCCTTATTTTCCTTCCGGAAGGCTGTCTTCTACCTTTCACCGTTGTTCGCAACGGCCTTGCAACAAATGTAGCGGCACAATGATTGCAACTCGGAGCGGTCTCTGCTACTTCTGCTTTTCTCCGATTCTGATTCTCAATTTTCTCGTTGTTGTCGTCGTCGCAACTATCGTTGTTGTGTTTTTATTCAGGTTTTTCTCCAAAATGGCCGTTTTTGACGTTTCTCAGAATTATTACGTCATCATTTCGAATTTTTAAAATTTAGGAATTTCCGAATCCTTCAGCCTTCACGATTTGTCTAATCTTCTGAATAACGCTCTTATTCCTTCAAAACCGCCAATTCGGAAATTTCGCTTTTAAAAACTCGAAACTGCATTTTCGTCCATTCTGGTCGAATGTCACATACTCCCCGGACAGCCCGGTCAATGTCCCCATTGAATCTCGCAATATTCGTAAAATTGGTACAGTGTCATCGAACAGAATTTACAAAATGCACGAAATTACTTTTACTCGCGTCATATCGACTCACTGCAGAATATAAATGGCATCATACTAGATTGCTATAGCCTTCTAAATGTATTCACTAATCTGCACTTTGAGGATATGACTTAAGATAAAATCTTAAGTCATATCGACTCACTGCAGAATATAAATGGCATCATACTAGATTGCTATAGCCTTCTAAATGTATTCACTAATCTGCACTTTGAGGATATGACTTAAGATAAAATATTTTTTCTGACTTCCAACGCCAAGGCCTTGATTTAAAACTTTTTCTCCTAGGTTTTAAAAGGTGTTAGTTTGCAGGACAGTCCTGCAAACCAACAAGCTAAAACTATCCTACTATGCTTCTTTCCTTCGGAAATTTTAGTTATTATTGTCCTGAATATTAAAATTAAGGAACTCTGTGATTAGAAAGAACAATGAAACAATCTCCCTCTTCAAGAGATTACCCAGGCCTTTCATGTCACCACAAAGTGATCAGTTCGCCTAGTTGATTAAAAACAGTCATGCAGGCTGGAATATTTAAATATTTTCTTCGTTCAAGCCTTTCTAAATAAATAGTAAGTGTCTCTAAAGCCACTAACTAAAATCAAAATGCAAATTTATAAATGCAAGAAATTCTTTAATGTTCAAAACTCAACTAAATGATTCAGTCTTCAATTACAAATCGGTTGCTCAGTCTCTCACTTGAGTTTTCGTCACACACATAAAACAATTCTGACTTCTTCTTTTTCGCCACTTCTTTGTTTTTTCTTTTTGCGTCGTTTACAAGTTCTAAAACTTCCAAGTTCTTCTAACATCAATTCTTTTTGCGTCTTGTCTCTACGGCCATTCGTCAATGTTCCGTTTCCTCCTCCTGTGACATTGACTCTGCACTTTCAGTTTCTGTGTCTTGCAACACATCGTTAGCTATTCTGACGCTGTTGGAAGCAGTCCTCCAACACTTCTGCTCTTCTACCCTCTGTTTACAACAAGGTAGGGGATCCACGTTAGATTCTCTGTTCCTGCAGAAGCTGTTGTGGAGACACAACGTCACGTTTCTCTCCAAATCTTCCTTCAACATCTCTTCTTTTTCCTTTCCACTACGTTCACTTGTCCTGGAAATTCTCTTCACCGCGGTGGTCACGGCATTTCGATGAGTCACGAAAGCTCGCTCGATAGCTCCTGCCCCAATGTCAAGCTGATACCCGCTGTTCACTCTGCCGTGCTTCGACATTTGCTTTTTTGCATACTCGTACAACCATGCAGTCATGTTGGCTCTAAACCATGGCATCAGTCGTTTTCTTGCCCATATCTTTTTTACTTCCATAGAAATGTTCAGAATCTTGCACGTTGTCTCAAAAAGATCTAAATCTTTTAGACAATCCAATTTCTGCAATTGTTCCCGCGTTGGTGCCTCCTGTCTTATGTTCTCCCTCACATGAGCTTCCAGCCATCGTATCGCCATCATAACTGCCGCTATCACTATTGTTATGGGCCGTGATGAGTCTGGTAAACCCATGGAGAGCAGCTCTCCAGAGTCCCAGATCAACACCAGATTACTACGCTTGGGATACCACCAGGTCTGCAGCCAGCAGTGGCAGGGAAACTCATCATGTGTCAACATGACGCTCCTCCAATTACGCTTTCCCAAAGCTTCCAGTAATGGTTCCACTTCCATCATCACTCGGTGAACCACATCATTCTCGTCTATTTTATTGTAATCTGTAACGGTTGATCCTCTCTGTTTCTCTCTCAAAGTCACTGAAGTTCCCACTCACGTATCCCATGAACTTCCTTCCCAGTATTGATTCCAACTCCTTCTTTGATCTCTCTGGAACTGCTGAGAACATTTTACACAGTAACTCGTAAGATTTCTCCGACATTCTCGTTAGTCTCACACACTTTGGCACTGAGAAGGCTTGATCCACGATCGTTCTCGTACTCTTTACATCCACAGCTACAAAATGCCCCGGGTATCTGCTCTTGCACATTGGAGCTAATGTCGATCCCACCAAATATCGTGCTCCTGATGGTCTACGACAAGTTTCACTGTGTCGGATGTTCATTTCCGTCTCGATCGCTTCCCACCATTTTCCTATGTACTTTTGCTCAGTTTGCAAAACTCCTGGGAATACTTCTACACTGACGGCTGTGACCATCTCATGTTTTTGTTCTAGATTCAATAGTGACTCTAAAGAACCAAACATGCTGTAGAATCCTAGTGCAGTCACTAGATTCACCTCGGTTCCTCCATGGCAATCTGCGATTAGTTCCGTTTCCGTCCTTGCTTTCATCATAACATTCCGAAACAATATCGTCAACTGCTTGTGTTGTCTGTCTAGGGTTTTCACGCAATCCAGACTTCCACAAACAAGACCTTCCAGTCCACAGACTTCCGCCAGACAGCTACCAGGTTTGACCCAGTCTTCTGGTCCCCAGCCAGGCAACTCCACTTTGTCTTCCCCGTTGCTCCTAGAGGCTGTTGTCATCACATCATATATGATGTTCAGGTCACGCAGGTTAGAGTCTGCATTTAATTCCCTCTGCACGTCATGTGTCGCTCGTAGTATCGAGTCAGCATTGGGACTAGGACACCATGATGGTCTCATCAGTTCCCACAAAACCATCAAGCTCGTTCTCAGTAATTCATCTGAGAATCCCAATCCAAACTCCACTCGTTTGTCGGATTTTGGCATGGAAGGTGCAGTCACCTTTTCTTCCAAGACAAGTCCCAACTTGGTCTGCGGATTAGTAGCGCTTTTAATTGTTGCAATTCTCGACGTACAGAACCTTAGCAACACTGCCTGCTCGTAATCAAAGAAGCAATCGCGTATGTCTTCACTCAGGAAAGGTTTGTACGCTATCCCTATGACTCCGGACACGTAACTGTATGACTTCTTCCTGATCGGTCCACAGCACTCACTGGATTTCGGCAGTGCCCCCATAGATTCTTTAGTGAGTCTCAGCTCCTTGTTTGAGAATCTCCTGATTTCGTCTATTTTCCTCATGGGTTCTAGCTCTTCAAGTTCTTTCATATTCACCCTCATTGGCTTGCTCTGATGCATATTCAGCAGTGCTAGCAAGAGTAAGGCTTTTACTCGTTCATCGCCCTCCCCCAGCATCTTGACACAGGTGTTCAATGCTGGCACTGAAATCTGCTCTATCAGGAATCGAATGAAACAGAGAGCGTCTCTCCGCTTCGCGCACGCTACTGCCCTTCCCTCCTGGATTATCAGATCCCTCAGGTTCGTCATCAGGAATACCTTTTCTTCTTTTGACCTTTTCCTTTCTTCTGAATCATATTCTCCGCGAGTTAATCCCATCATACACCAGGCGAACCTCAGTTGTAATTCGGTTCTCACGTAAAGTACTGCCATGAGAGCGTGTATTCTCGGCGTAGTCCTCATTTCCTCTTCAAGGTACCTCAACACCACTGCTTTCCATGGAAGTCTCACTAATTGCTCAATCGCTTCCGCCTGCATCTCAGACGACGCTAGAGTCTCGTACGCTTTCTGCTTGATGGTGGTGCCTTGTAACATCGTCTCCAGATAACCTTCCCTGGCACTCTTGTCTTCCAGAGCCATCACATATCCTCTAGCCGTGCTTCGGTATTCCAACATCTCCATGTATCCACCGGCGGGTTCATCTATCGACACAGTCTCCGACACTGTCAGTCGGATATAATCCACTGGTACTAGTTGTCCTGCGACACTTCCCTTTCCGTGGTCTAAAGTCTTTCATGGTACTTTCTCCACATTGGCTGAGTATCTCCATTTCCAAGGTTGCTCCAGTCAGAGTGCGGTCACTCCTTTTGGAATTGTAACCTGTTGACTTTATCCCTGCCATGAGAATGGGTGGCACCATTGCTACATCAGTTAACATTCTGTCCGTGCCAGGCAATTGATAATCACCTTGTCCCAAATCCATGGCCTCTTCGACTCGTTTTCTTTTCGCTGAATTGACAGCTCTTATCGATATCTGCGAATCCACTTTCGTCTTTCCTGCTCTCCTCGGTATCACTTTGCTGCCTAATTTCATCTTCATCTCGTTGATCTTATCAATCACCAGTTTCGATCGCATCGTTCCTTTCCTGGTCCTTGACAGATAAACCACCTCTCCTTTATCCTCCTGCGGTGTCATCTTGATGGGAGAGTTGACTTCACTTTCAATCAACAACTCAATCAATCTCCCTTCACACTCATCAAGTTTGTCGAGGGCTTCCCGCATCAATGGTCGGCTGAGATCCACTTTCAAAATGGACTGGGTCCCGTAGCTCTGAACTACTGTCCAGACTTCTTCCATGAACGCCACTCTGTCCAATCTACATCCCGGCCTATTTTCATGGTCTCGGTGATGCACTTCCCACTCTTCTTCGGGCAACGTTCCCAAGAAAGGTACTCTGGCAGCGCCTTTTATTCTTCTTCTCCTCGGTGTGATTCCATGAGGAGTCTTTGTTTGTTATCTTTTGAATTGCCCGGCAAATTCCGCTTCATCTCCATAAAGGCCGACAGAGATTCCAGTGTCGAAGTGCCTTCGTCTGCTGGCTCAGCCGCTTCCAACGTATCCGCATTATTCTCAAAGTCACTGAGGAAATTAAAATCCGGGCTGGATATTCCTCCATCGATGCCTTGTCGTCTTCCCTATCTGTTTGATTGTTACCTTGCTGCATGGGTTCCTCCGTTTGACGGCTTCCTCCCTGCCCATAATCTTTTTTCGAGCTTGAGGGTAATTGCTTTTCAGTCTCAGCCCATTCCGGAAATTTTGGTATGATCAGTATGCCGGCCGATTTAGCTTCCTCCTCTCCATGGACCAATTTGATTTCCTCACAGCCGAAGGGTGCCAGGAAGGTTCTCGTCTGCAACGTTCCTCCCACTGTTAACCCCTGCTTCACACTGTTCAAAATCAGGGAGGACTCAGGTAATTGGGCTCTGCCTCTCATTCTCATGGGCGCTAGGTTTAATTCCGCCCATTCCGTGTTAAACGCTCCAGGCTTTGGAGTCGCGGCGTTGCTGATTCGCCTTCTCGTCGCTTGATCCGTGTAGGCAAATCGCGTGTACTGCAGCACGGCGGCATTCCTCCCCATAACGTATGGGTCCATCATTTCCACGAATTTCCCTATCCTCCTTTCATTGGTTTCAAACTCTCTTAGTCTGGGAGTTTGTACTAGGGAGACTGCTCCGAGCAACATCCTTCTCATCAGAGGGAATTCAGGGATCCCCTCTGGCAGCTTTTCGTAATCACCCCAATCTTTCGTCTCTTCTCTCACCAGGAACTCTGGTCATTTCACCATTCGTCTTATCATAGGTTCTTAGATTCCAGAGCTTTGGAAATACCTCGATGTGCCCTCTCTCTTCTTTGTTATTGGTACTGCTGATGAAATCTGTAGTGTTTTCTTTTGCGAACTGTCCTTAAAAACTGATTTATTTTTATTTAATTGCGAAGGCTGAGACTTCGGACGGCTATCTACAGCACTGATGAGCTTTTGCAAGTCCTGTGCTTTCTTTTCCCTTTCACGCTTCCGGGTTTCAATTTTCTTCAGTTCTTCAACCAGCCTCTCTTCTTCTTTTACCTCTTCTGGTGTTCGGTTCCAAAGCCTTTCCAGTTGCTCTTTTCGTTTCCGCTCATGAGCCGCATCATATAACTTTGGAGGCTCTCCTGTATTCCCAGATCTCACGTGCTGCAGCGTTGCGACTATGTTGTAATACCGCTCTTTCAGATCCTCAATCGACCTATGTCTAAATTTGTCGGAGTCATATCTGTCTTGGATTATGATAAAACGAGTGTCGAACTGATTACAAAGATCCATTAAATGTGCCGTTTCCTCTTCGCTCCAGCTTGAATCATTTAAATACTGAGCATATTCTACAGATGTATACGATGGATTATTTACATGCTTATTGAATCTCGCAAATTGCGACTCTCCTGTTCCGTCACATTCACGCTTCCAGTGAAAAAACACAATTCCGTCGTCCCTCATTGGAATTGCAAACGGAGTTTGTTTCCAAGCTCTGGGATGAAACTTGCTCATTTTAGCCTTAGTCAACTTGTAGCCCAACTTGGTGTCAGCCTGTATCAATGGTGATTTATCCAAAGGTATTCCAGATTGGTTTTGGGCTAGCGATCCAGTCGACCCATCTCGTAGTAAATTAAAAAGCTCCCTAGCCATTCCTTCAGGTTTTTTGAACTGATTTGGAGCTGGAAGTTTATTCACCTTTTTTGGTTTCTTCTTCTTTTCATCATTGAGCACTGACTGCAAATGCGAACCTTGCAATTTCGTACCTTCAACGCCAAGAATATCTGTGAAATCATTGGTAAACTCCATTTTATCTAAAACGTAACCCGTATCGAGTTTATTTTAAACCACATCAACTCTTATCATCTCCTTTTTATCATTATCACTTCCATATCTAGAAAATTCTTACAAGTTTGACTAGAATATGTGATATCGGGACTCCTGACTGTTAAATCGGTTAAATTCCGCCCAAAGTGCTCCTCAAAATTAGGCTTATTTGAGAGTAAAATTTGAATTTGATTTTAATTTTGTCCACTAGTGTATCTAAAAGCTAAATTTATCTAATATAGCAGCGGAAGAACCGTTCAAAAAATAACCGTTGTCAATGGCTGGGACCAAAACTGACACGCAGAGTATCTGTTTTGCAAAAAGAAACCTAACAGGATAACTTAAGCTGAAAAAGAAAATCTCAATTTTAAAAAAACCATTGAGATGAGCAGAGTCAATTATATATCTCTATTGTATATCTCATAATGTACCAGATACTTCAGCAGCGGCAGCTGATAGCATTCCACCATTTGTGCTGAGGCAAAACGCCAAAGTTCTTTCCCCAATTAGTTATATTCTTTTCTCTCAAATTATTTCTTGCTGTTCTTGGCCCAACAAAAAATATTTGGAAAGAGGCATAGGTTATCTCATTACATAAGTCAAAATCAAAATCAGAAGTTACTAACCATCGTGGTATCAGTATCCTCCCACGTTTGTCTGTCTCCAAAAACTAGTTTTTAAATTCATGTATTCCGAAGTTCGGCATAAGCTGTCTTATAGCCAACACGGTTTTATGAGCAGCTTTTTCGCGCAACTCTTTTCAAAAATTGATAAATTTTATAGTTGCAATGATGCTAATGAAGACATTTGTGCTGTCTACTTTGACATGCTAAAAGCATTTGACTCCAAGTCTCATAAAAGTTTTGCTAAACAAGATTACCGCTTTAGGTTTTGAAGCGTTCATCCGTCTCCATTACCTCCTATTTATCCAAAGAAATTTTGATATTTGAATAATACTTTCGTTACCCCAAATGTATCAAAGTAACCGAGTTTACAGTCCTTTTATCACATATTCCAAACAAAACTCTAGGAATTACCCAGATATCGAAGTTGTTATGTGACATTCGACCAGAATGTACGAAAATGCAAAGTCGGAATTTGACTTTTTATTGTGACATCGGAGTGGGAAGATTAACGCTTGTAACGAATTAGTGGTCTTAATCGTTCATTTTGATGAACGCGGAATGTAACATTCGCCCGGAAGTACATATCGACTGAAAATAAAGCTGGGTCCTAAGACGACTGGCCAACTTCTAAACAGAGCTCTACATGCTTTTCATCGTCTCTACCAAGCCAGTTCTTTTGGTGGTCTTTTCAACATCGGGTCGACAAAAACGTTACTGTTCTCCGGCTTCGACCAGAACGCTCAAATTAACTTAATAACATGCAGAAATAGTGACCTCATGGCTGGGTCTCAGTATCCCCAGACCACGAGGTCACTCCTAAAATCAGGGCTACTACTATTTATTGAATTTTTATTGTTTTTGTTCAGTAGATAAAAATCATCATCTCCATCGACCCCCAACTCCTAGCTTCTCATCCTCGTAAAATGATTTCAGATGTTAATTAAATTCAATTCAGGAAATAATAGGGAAGCTAAAAGTTTGTATGAAATGATATGACTTCCAGTCCCAAGACCCCTCCGGATTCTTGAATCCGGGGAAATAAGACCCTTATTTTCCTTCCGGAAGGCTGTCTTCTACCTTTCACCGTTGTTCGCAACGGCCTTGCAACAAATGTAGCGGCACAATGATTGCAACTCGGAGCGGTCTCTGCTACTTCTGCTTTTCTCCGATTCTGATTCTCAATTTTCTCGTTGTTGTCGTCGTCGCAACTATCGTTGTTGTGTTTTTATTCAGGTTTTTCTCCAAAATGGCCGTTTTTGACGTTTCTCAGAATTATTACGTCATCATTTCGAATTTTTAAAATTTAGGAATTTCCGAATCCTTCAGCCTTCACGATTTGTCTAATCTTCTGAATAACGCTCTTATTCCTTCAAAACCGCCAATTCGGAAATTTCGCTTTTAAAAACTCGAAACTGCATTTTCGTCCATTCTGGTCGAATGTCACATACTCCCCGGACAGCCCGGTCAATGTCCCCATTGAATCTCGCAATATTCGTAAAATTGGTACAGTGTCATCGAACAGAATTTACAAAATGCACGAAATTACTTTTACTCGCGTCATATCGACTCACTGCAGAATATAAATGGCATCATACTAGATTGCTATAGCCTTCTAAATGTATTCACTAATCTGCACTTTGAGGATATGACTTAAGATAAAATCTTAAGTCATATCGACTCACTGCAGAATATAAATGGCATCATACTAGATTGCTATAGCCTTCTAAATGTATTCACTAATCTGCACTTTGAGGATATGACTTAAGATAAAACATTTTTTCTGACTTCCAACGCCAAGGCCTTGATTTAAAACTTTTTCTCCTAGGTTTTAAAAGGTGTTAGTTTGCAGGACAGTCCTGCAAACCAACAAGCTAAAACTATCCTACTATGCTTCTTTCCTTCGGAAATTTTAGTTATTATTGTCCTGAATATTAAAATTAAGGAACTCTGTGATTAGAAAGAACAATGAAACAATCTCCCTCTTCAAGAGATTACCCAGGCCTTTCATGTCACCACAAAGTGATCAGTTCGCCTAGTTGATTAAAAACAGTCATGCAGGCTGGAATATTTAAATATTTTCTTCGCTCAAGCCTTTCTAAATAAATAGTAAGTGTCTCTAAAGCCACTAACTAAAATCAAAATGCAAATTTATAAATGCAAGAAATTCTTTAATGTTCAAAACTCAACTAAATGATTCAGTCTTCAATTACAAATCGGTTGCTCAGTCTCTCACTTGAGTTTTCGTCACACACATAAAACAATTCTGACTTCTTCTTTTTCGCCACTTCTTTGTTTTTTCTTTTTGCGTCGTTTACAAGTTCTAAAACTTCCAAGTTCTTCTAACATCAATTCTTTTTGCGTCTTGTCTCTACGGCCATTCGTCAATGTTCCGTTTCCTCCTCCTGTGACATTGACTCTGCACTTTCAGTTTCTGTGTCTTGCAACACATCGTTAGCTATTCTGACGCTGTTGGAAGCAGTCCTCCAACACTTCTGCTCTTCTACCCTCTGTTTACAACAAGGTAGGGGATCCACGTTAGATTCTCTGTTCCTGCAGAAGCTGTTGTGGAGACACAACGTCACGTTTCTCTCCAAATCTTCCTTCAACATCTCTTCTTTTTCCTTTCCACTACGTTCACTTGTCCTGGAAATTCTCTTCACCGCGGTGGTCACGGCATTTCGATGAGTCACGAAAGCTCGCTCGATAGCTCCTGCCCCAATGTCAAGCTGATACCCGCTGTTCACTCTGCCGTGCTTCGACATTTGCTTTTTTGCATACTCGTACAACCATGCAGTCATGTTGGCTCTAAACCATGGCATCAGTCGTTTTCTTGCCCATATCTTTTTTACTTCCATAGAAATGTTCAGAATCTTGCACGTTGTCTCAAAAAGATCTAAATCTTTTAGACAATCCAATTTCTGCAATTGTTCCCGCGTTGGTGCCTCCTGTCTTATGTTCTCCCTCACATGAGCTTCCAGCCATCGTATCGCCATCATAACTCCCGCTATCACTATTGTTATGGGCCGTGATGAGTCTGGTAAACCCATGGAGAGCAGCTCTCCAGAGTCCCAGATCAACACCAGATTACTACGCTTGGGATACCACCAGGTCTGCAGCCAGCAGTGGCAGGGAAACTCATCATGTGTCAACATGACGCTCCTCCAATTACGCTTTCCCAAAGCTTCCAGTAATGGTTCCACTTCCATCATCACTCGGTGAACCACATCATTCTCGTCTATTTTATTGTAATCTGTAACGGTTGATCCTCTCTGTTTCTCTCTCAAAGTCACTGAAGTTCCCACTCACGTATCCCATGAACTTCCTTCCCAGTATTGATTCCAACTCCTTCTTTGATCTCTCTGGAACTGCTGATAACATTTTACACAGTAACTCGTAAGATTTCTCCGACATTCTCGTTAGTCTCACACACTTTGGCACTGAGAAGGCTTGATCCACGATCGTTCTCGTACTCTTTACATCCACAGCTACAAAATGCCCCGGGTATCTGCTCTTGCACATTGGAGCTAATGTCGATCCCACCAAATATCGTGCTCCTGATGGTCTACGACAAGTTTCACTGTGTCGGATGTTCATTTCCGTCTCGATCGCTTCCCACCATTTTCCTATGTACTTTTGCTCAGTTTGCAAAACTCCTGGGAATACTTCTACACTGACGGCTGTGACCATCTCATGTTTTTGTTCTAGATTCAATAGTGACTCTAAAGAACCAAACATGCTGTAGAATCCTAGTGCAGTCACTAGATTCACCTCGGTTCCTCCATGGCAATCTGCGATTAGTTCCGTTTCCGTCCTTGCTTTCATCATAACATTCCGAAACAATATCGTCAACTGCTTGTGTTGTCTGTCTAGGGTTTTCACGCAATCCAGACTTCCACAAACAAGACCTTCCAGTCCACAGACTTCCGCCAGACAGCTACCAGGTTTGACCCAGTCTTCTGGTCCCCAGCCAGGCAACTCCACTTTGTCTTCCCCGTTGCTCCTAGAGGCTGTTGTCATCACATCATATATGATGTTCAGGTCACGCAGGTTAGAGTCTGCATTTAATTCCCTCTGCACGTCATGTGTCGCTCGTAGTATCGAGTCAGCATTGGGACTAGGACACCATGATGGTCTCATCAGTTCCCACAAAACCATCAAGCTCGTTCTCAGTAATTCATCTGAGAATCCCAATCCAAACTCCACTCGTTTGTCGGATTTTGGCATGGAAGGTGCAGTCACCTTTTCTTCCAAGACAAGTCCCAACTTGGTCTGCGGATTAGTAGCGCTTTTAATTGTTGCAATTCTCGACGTACAGAACCTTAGCAACACTGCCTGCTCGTAATCAAAGAAGCAATCGCGTATGTCTTCACTCAGGAAAGGTTTGTACGCTATCCCTATGACTCCGGACACGTAACTGTATGACTTCTTCCTGATCGGTCCACAGCACTCACTGGATTTCGGCAGTGCCCCCATAGATTCTTTAGTGAGTCTCAGCTCCTTGTTTGAGAATCTCCTGATTTCGTCTATTTTCCTCATGGGTTCTAGCTCTTCAAGTTCTTTCATATTCACCCTCATTGGCTTGCTCTGATGCATATTCAGCAGTGCTAGCAAGAGTAAGGCTTTTACTCGTTCATCGCCCTCCCCCAGCATCTTGACACAGGTGTTCAATGCTGGCACTGAAATCTGCTCTATCAGGAATCGAATGAAACAGAGAGCGTCTCTCCGCTTCGCGCACGCTACTGCCCTTCCCTCCTGGATTATCAGATCCCTCAGGTTCGTCATCAGGAATACCTTTTCTTCTTTTGACCTTTTCCTTTCTTCTGAATCATATTCTCCGCGAGTTAATCCCATCATACACCAGGCGAACCTCAGTTGTAATTCGGTTCTCACGTAAAGTACTGCCATGAGAGCGTGTATTCTCGGCGTAGTCCTCATTTCCTCTTCAAGGTACCTCAACACCACTGCTTTTCATGGAAGTCTCACTAATTGCTCAATCGCTTCCGCCTGCATCTCAGACGACGCTAGAGTCTCGTACGCTTTCTGCTTGATGGTGGTGCCTTGTAACATCGTCTCCAGATAACCTTCCCTGGCACTCTTGTCTTCCAGAGCCATCACATATCCTCTAGCCGTGCTTCGGTATTCCAACATCTCCATGTATCCACCGGCGGGTTCATCTATCGACACAGTCTCCGACACTGTCAGTCGGATATAATCCACTGGTACTAGTTGTCCTGCGACACTTCCCTTTCCGTGGTCTAAAGTCTTTCATGGTACTTTCTCCACATTGGCTGAGTATCTCCATTTCCAAGGTTGCTCCAGTCAGAGTGCGGTCACTCCTTTTGGAATTGTAACCTGTTGACTTTATCCCTGCCATGAGAATGGGTGGCACCATTGCTACATCAGTTAACATTCTGTCCGTGCCAGGCAATTGATAATCACCTTGTCCCAAATCCATGGCCTCTTCGACTCGTTTTCTTTTCGCTGAATTGACAGCTCTTATCGATATCTGCGAATCCACCTTCGTCTTTCCTGCTCTCCTCGGTATCACTTTGCTGCCTAATTTCATCTTCATCTCGTTGATCTTATCAATCACCAGTTTCGATCGCATCGTTCCTTTCCTGGTCCTTGACAGATAAACCACCTCTCCTTTATCCTCCTGCGGTGTCATCTTGATGGGAGAGTTGACTTCACTTTCAATCAACAACTCAATCAATCTCCCTTCACACTCATCAAGTTTGTCGAGGGCTTCCCGCATCAATGGTCGGCTGAGATCCACTTTCAAAATGGACTGGGTCCCGTAGCTCTGAACTACTGTCCAGACTTCTTCCATGAACGCCACTCTGTCCAATCTACATCCCGGCCTATTTTCATGGTCTCGGTGATGCACTTCCCACTCTTCTTCGGGCAACGTTCCCAAGAAAGGTACTCTGGCAGCGCCTTTTATTCTTCTTCTCCTCGGTGTGATTCCATGAGGAGTCTTTGTTTGTTATCTTTTGAATTGCCCGGCAAATTCCGCTTCATCTCCATAAAGGCCGACAGAGATTCCAGTGTCGAAGTGCCTTCGTCTGCTGGCTCAGCCGCTTCCAACGTATCCGCATTATTCTCAAAGTCACTGAGGAAATTAAAATCCGGGCTGGATATTCCTCCATCGATGCCTTGTCGTCTTCCCTATCTGTTTGATTGTTACCTTGCTGCATGGGTTCCTCCGTTTGACGGCTTCCTCCCTGCCCATAATCTTTTTTCGAGCTTGAGGGTAATTGCTTTTCAGTCTCAGCCCATTCCGGAAATTTTGGTATGATCAGTATGCCGGCCGATTTAGCTTCCTCCTCTCCATGGACCAATTTGATTTCCTCACAGCCGAAGGGTGCCAGGAAGGTTCTCGTCTGCAACGTTCCTCCCACTGTTAACCCCTGCTTCACACTGTTCAAAATCAGGGAGGACTCAGGTAATTGGGCTCTGCCTCTCATTCTCATGGGCGCTAGGTTTAATTCCGCCCATTCCGTGTTAAACGCTCCAGGCTTTGGAGTCGCGGCGTTGCTGATTCGCCTTCTCGTCGCTTGATCCGTGTAGGCAAATCGCGTGTACTGCAGCACGGCGGCATTCCTCCCCATAACGTATGGGTCCATCATTTCCACGAATTTCCCTATCCTCCTTTCATTGGTTTCAAACTCTCTTAGTCTGGGAGTTTGTACTAGGGAGACTGCTCCGAGCAACATCCTTCTCATCAGAGGGAATTCAGGGATCCCCTCTGGCAGCTTTTCGTAATCACCCCAATCTTTCGTCTCTTCTCTCACCAGGAACTCTGGTCATTTCACCATTCGTCTTATCATAGGTTCTTAGATTCCAGAGCTTTGGAAATACCTCGATGTGCCCTCTCTCTACTTCTCCCATACTATCACGGAAGTGATCGTCGAAGTTGATGACTGTCATTTCTGGCTCTGATATTTTCGCAAATAACAGATCTTCGCTCATGAGCTCCCGCAATACGTGCTGCTCACACCAGTTCAGCGCACTACCGTCCACTGCTGATATGAAGTTCAGGTGCAGCACCGACCTCCTGTATGCTTCCACCTTGACATCAGAGAACGCAAACGTGACTGGTGGTCCATAAATCACTGTCACAAACTCTGTGGCTCCTCTGATCAACGCTAAGGGATCGGTCCTCATAGCCAAGCTTAGATCAGTTGGTAGGGGCAAGCCCCCAACATGTCGTCTCACGTCTTCCTTCCTCTCAATCGTCTCATCCTCTCCTGTTCCAAAGCGATTATGATGCAGGAGGTACTGGATAAGAGTATGTCTCAGATCTCTTATCTTATTCCACGAATCTGTGGCTTTCTTAACATCAAATTCCTTCACATTCTCTCTCATCTGTTCTGGTTAACGTGTCAGTTTCATTAGTCCTCCCAAGTTTCCATGGGTAATCGCAATCAATGTTAGAAGCCCATCTAACCGCAAGTTCTGTATTCCTTCAGTGAGCAGTATCACCAGTCCCTTCACGAAGCTATCTGCTCCAAACGTCACGAACAAGGCTAGTAGTTCCACAATCGACACTTCCACTACTGCTTGGAGGAATTCCTTTATCAAGTAACGAGAGAGTTTCAGAAAGTTTTTTGCCAAGAAGGACGCAGTCCATCCGGCTCCCAGCCCTTCCAGCATGCTATCAGTCCGTTCGAAGCCTTCTTCTCCCTTCACCTTTTCAGTCCAGAAAGTTTCCAGGGTAACTTGGCACACTCTGTTTACGAATCCGGCTGTCTTTTCTTCAGCATTCTCCGCCAGGTTCACCTCCTTTAACAAGTAGGCATGGATCTTCTTGATCATTACTGGGCCTTGCTCAAAAGCATCCGCACCCAATGCCGCTACTCGAGGAGTTAGATGTAGCCACTGATTAGCCTCTGGTTTGGTTCTCAAAACCATCGCCTCCAAGTGAGCTCTAGTCTCCTGGGAACTTTTCCTTCTCTCTCTTTCTCCTGCTGCTTCCATTCCTCGGAACCAA